ATCCCACTTGTTAATCGTGCTGGCATGCTCGTATTCTGCCAGCCAGTCCTCGACATCTTGATCTTCAGTGCCGTTGTATACTGGTGGGTCACAGAGACGAAGTACACCAGAACACATGACAGGTGGCAGCGTAGAAGAGCCTTGTGGGGGATCGACGCGCTCAGTCATCGCGGACTGAGATGGTAGCTTACGGTTGCGGAGCTCCAGGACGTTACCCAGCACCTCCACCAAATGCAACGAGCAAGGTTGCGTAAAAACACAGGTTATTATTCCAGAAACGTTAGCCGCAACAAGCTGGTACAGGAAGGAGCCCGGCAAGCACGAGCCACACACGGACGTCAACGGCTTCTTTCACGCTGGCACAGAGCTGGCGCCACTATGCTTCGGCCCCGGGTCCGGTCTTTATCAGTGTCCTGATGAAGGCCGGAATCGCGGCCGAAACGTCAATAAAGTCACCTCGTACGTGTGTCTACTTCACTGCGGGTACTTTTAGCCGGACTCAGATACAGTGGTAGCTTTTGGTCAAATTTTTTTACTCTACTGCATGCATCTAAGCATACTTGTGATACGCATTAAGTAATTTTTTTTTGTAAGATATCCCGCACGCTGCCAGCACCATTTTACACACGTTCTTTTCGGGTAGACATTTAGTTGCACTATTATTATTGATAGCAATGAAGTACTTCAATGACATCGCCGCGGTGGGCTAGTGGCTAAGGTATTCGGCTGCTGACCAGTAGGTTGCGGGATCAAATCCCGGCTGCGGCGGCTGCATTCCCGATGGAGGCGGAAATATTGTAGTCCCGTGTGTTGATTTTTGGGCGCACGTTAACGAACCTCACCTGGTCTGAATTTTTGAAGCCCACCATTACGGCGTATACCATAACCACATGGTGATTTCGGGACGTTAAACCCCACATATTTTTCAATCATTCTTACAGTACTTTTACTTACTCTCTTCCCAACCATACGCATAGGGAGAGGGAGAATCTCATGACTTGACATACGCGTGCACCATCTGTTTTAACTACCGCCTATAGTCACGTCACAAAGAAAAGCTGATGACTGTGCCCCCCACCCCCCGTCGAGTTAGTGTGAGCCCACTACCCCCCCCCCCCCCCCCCCCCGAAAAAAAAAATTTCTGGCTACGCCCCTGCTTTCTTGTGTATGCTTCTTTCTTACTTTTTTCACTCTGTTCTCTTTTAACGCCTTTCAAACTTTTGCGTTATTCCTTTCTTTCTTTCTAGTTCTCGGTTTTTGTGTCTTTTTACCTCTTCCATGCTTTCTCAACCTGCACTCGTTCTCTCACCGTTCAGAGTTGTTGCATCTACGTCATAGAAATCGGCGTACGTGTCCTTAAAGCGTAGCAGCAGATGAAGGAGCGGGTGAAGAGCGCGCGTGCCTGTTGATGTTGGTGACAGTTTTCAGGTATCAGAACGTGGTATAACTGAAAGCTTAAAAGTGATGTCGATAAGAAAAAAAATTAAAACAAAAGAAAAGCGCTGTTCACGTGAAATACATATCAGGGTGAAATATTCCACTACGGAAAAATTTCGCCTTCCAGTCGCCTTAGGCGAGCTCAGAGTGGATCCCGCGAAATTTATACGTGCCATTACTCTGCCTGTATGCGCGCTGACGAATTTTAAGCGAAGTGCTTGCGAAATCACCGCAGGATTTACTGAACGAATAACAACTCGTTCGCCCTCTCACGAATCGCTAATTTCTCTGCTGTATGTCCCCTTTCCGAAGAAGGAAGGTGTACATTCCATTCGGCTGCCTTAGATAGCTTGCAGCGCGGACGTGTGGTATTGCTCTTAACCTCGTGCGCCTGCTATGCTAAGAAAGCTGAGTTTTTTTTTCTTACTTCGTCCTTCTTTATAGCACCATTAAGACGGTAAGCGGCTGCCGACTCAGCTTGCGAATGAAAGTGGTAGCGGCGGACGCCACCATTTTCGAGGTCGAATACGCAGTGCCTTTGAAGGTCGACACGCGTCGGTGATCAAGCACGCGCGTGTGCAAGGTGCGAGGCATGTGCAACGCGTGCACCACTAGCTTGGCTAACGGTTGAAGGCTCTACATAGACCAAGAGATAAACCAATAATAATATTTACAAACAAAAATAAAAAAATTGCTGCCAGAGTGCCCCATTGGAAGACATCCAAGGAACGCGAATGAAAGGCAATAAGCAAACATAATGTGCACACGTGGCAGCCTTTTCTTTTTTCCTTTGTTCTCCCGCAAGCGCTATAAATATCTACGAGGCATGACGAAGCGAAGCAATTTCCTGTAATTGTTCTCCGAAGACTGCATCGGTGGAATCCGCGACTGGCTTGCGATGAATGTAGTACATTACGGCGATCTTCGCTGCCGAGGTGGGAGCACGGAGGGAGGCGTTGCGACAACTCAGGCGTATAAATTATACAACGGTGCAACGAAAACCTTGACCGTGTGTGACGTATGTGGTTGAAATAGAAAAAGAAAAAAAATGTTTTAGGCCACACATCCTTTTCAGCAAGGTCGAAGGAGCACAGCGTTTATGTTATAACACACAATATCCTACAGTAACCATTGATCAGTTAACATTGTGTGACAACGCTACCGAATATTAGAGACCATTTCGTGATGACACGCTGATGTTATAGCCACTGGCAAAAAAGTTTAAGCCCCCGCCAAGACATGGTTCACATGTCTATCTATCTATCTATCTATCTATCTATCTATCTATCTATCTATCTATCTATCTATCTATCTATCTATCTATCTATCTATCTATCTATCTATCTATCTATCTATCTATCTATCTAGCCGCATTAGACGTGACTGCTGCGGATAGTGTGAGCTCGTGCTTTCTCTTCCTCTTTCACCCCCTTACTCCCCTCCTCATGCACTGGGTTGCAAATTGGATATAGTATACAGCCTCTCCTACCCGACGTGGGGCTCGACTGTTGAAACGAAGATCGCGCGATCAAATACCACGTGCGGTGGGGGCATTTTGATGGAGGCGAAATGCTATAGACGGTCAAAATTTACCGAAGCTTTCACTACGGCGTCCCTCATTATTGAGATCATGATTCTGACATCAAACTCCGACATTAATTGCAAATGAGCGGAAAGGCTAAGAACGGGAAAGAAGACAACCACCCGTTTGTAGCACGACGCCACAAGGAAATCCGTACGGATTTCTTAGAAAGAAAAGCCTCTTAGTTGCCAGAAAATTTGTCCTGCTCCGGGGTTCGAACCCGGTACCAACGACTTTGCGGGGCGGTCGCTCTACCAATTCAGCTAAACCAGAAGCTAGCAATTGACAGCGTCAGGTCGAATTTGTCGACAACTCTAAGCACACAAACACGGGTTTTTCCCTTCTTTCCCTGTCTTATACGGCTTTTATTATTTAACGTCCTTTCGTTCCCTCTCTTTATCTTTCGTTTCGCCACTTAGAACGTCATGATCTATTTAAAATAATCAGGTGGCGTGCGAGGATGTACGTTTAGCGCTTCATAACAGTGTGCAGACACTCAAAGGTGACTCAACAGGTACTTCCTCTCGCGTGAAGCCGTTTATTCTAAGTCTATTTGTCTATTTGTTCAACACCTTGTTGCCCAAGGTATATGTGTGCTTGCGCCTAGAAATGGTATACACGCACAAAGCACTCAACAATAATGGATGGGGGAGCTAAATGTCCAGAGTCAATTGTTTGTTGATAAAAGTGTGATGATGTGAATGAAATTATATGGAAAGTAATACTTGCCGAAGGGATGGCTCGCAGGTTTGATATCTTTGTCCACGGGCTGGTTGATTGATATGTGGGGCTTAACGTCCCAAAACCACCATATGATTAAGAGAGACGCCGTAGTGGAGGGCTCCGGAAATTTCGACCACCTGGGGTTGTTTAACGTGCACCCAAATTTGTCCACGGGCTGGCGAAGAGCTTGAAAGTTCTCGCTTCAAAGTGGGCTATATAGGTGTAAAGATATTGCTAAGAAATAGTGGTTAAACATCCTGAATACTTTGTGCTACACCATTTAACAATGTAGCCTCAGGCGCACAAAGCAATAATGTATCGTGTGCTATTTGCAAAGACTTTATTTACATTAATCATTTTTCCCAAAACGATTACTGTAATCAAAAAGCCAAACAAAGAAAAAAAAGTAGCAGAACTGAAAATTAGCTCGCGCGATCATAACTTAAAATAGGATAAACACTATGCACTGCTTCATGCTGTGAAGAGTGCAGCCGTCATACTTAAGCTTTATTCTTTTGATACTATACTTGGAGCTCGAGTAGCATACTGATATTCTTGACATGCCTGCTCATCATCACAGAGCAGATAGAATACGCCTGTTTCCTTATATCACATAAAGCATGCTACGACACAAATATTTCAGAACGCTGAGCAGACGTACTACGCTTACACACTCACTGCATAAAAAAAAGCTATCTTCCTTATGCAAAATGTAGGCGACCACACTGGGAGGCATGTGTGGGTTATTACAGGCTGTGTTAACTAAGCACACAGAGGGAGACAATTTCTCTGGTCATCATTGCTTTCAGGAACAGAAATATATGATTCTTACAAACGACGGTAACGAAAATCTGCAAAACGCAAGTTCACACGCACAAAAAAAGGTACCTTTTGTCTTCCTAAAAAGGACACAGTGCTTGTCGTTGCAGCGTGATATATCGCACAGCATGGGCTACAAACGAGAGTGGAAACTCTTAGCTGCTATTACTTTGTGGAAGACTCGTATCAAGTTAAGCTAGACTTTGTAGTGATTAGAAATCACTCAGGGTAGCTCCAGGAACTTTAAGCTGATACCAATTATCTGTGAGTTTTAGGCGTCTTAAGCATGCGATAAGAAGGCGCGAGAACCCGGACAGAATTAGCAAGGCCACCCTCGCACAATGTAAAGATCATGTAGATAGTGTTTCGTGTCGTCAGCTTAACAATATTTGTGAGCCCTGGTAATTTATGATACGCACTATCATATCACATTCTCTGGTGTTTGGGCAGACGGAAACAACTCTACGTTCAAATATTTATTTTCGTGTTGAGAACAAATGAAAACATGCAAACAACAGTTTTGAAAGTAATCTTGACATGGAAAAGGTGAAGTATTAACGACAGGTAACGATGCAATGTGACAATCATTCACGTAAAATTTGCTTTAAGCAACAGCGCTGATAGAGGCACAGAGAAGAAAGTTCGCCTATCTTTTTGTCCAAACTTGGCACATCGCTTCATTCCTTTGATATGACTTGGTAAGCCAATTCGTTGAAAAAAAAACAAAAACACGTCTGTTTAGCTCGACTGCTATGTGGGAAATTGCTCTGCGTCTCCTATACGTAACACTCCGGAAGTAGATCAGCGCTTTACCTGAGTGCCTTGGTTAAAAAGCTGAACTTGATCCTGTTTACAACACGCATGCCCAGACACCCGCTTTAACCACGCACCTGTAATTTGATACCAACGACGTGACTCGAACGCGTCTTCGCTGGAGCATGAACGAGGAGTAACGAGGAATTAATGACAGGTGCACAACACTACGAGCACGCGGACTTGCAGTTTTCGCAGGAACAGGCTTTGACAGAACCCTTGCTCTGGTTGCACGCAAACGTCTCAACAGACAGCGGCTTGAAGACTGCTCCCTCGGGCGTCTTGTGTTCTTTGTCCGTTTGGACGTGCTTGACACTCATAGGTGAGAGTCCACCCTCACTGGGAGACGCTCCGAGAAAGCCCAACCAACGTTCGGCCGTGCAGTCGGTGTGCCAGCGACCGCACATGAAGTTGAAGAGGCTGATAGAAGGTATCTTGCTGCGCGAGTCCTTGCACGAGTCGAACATGCCCCGCACGAACGCAGGCGTGACGTAGAAGTTGAGCGACGAAACGTAACTCTCCTTGTCCTCGTTAACCTCGCTCTTCAGCAGCTGCATGAAGTCGGCCTGTCGCGGCGAGCACAGCATGTGACACATGAGCGCACGGAAGTTGCGGCTGCAGGCGGGACAGTTGTCCAGTCCAATGGCCTTGGCCGACTGCAGGTTCTCGGCGAAGTCCTCTGCCTGGCTGCCGTCGCAACACAGCGGCTGAGTCACGTTGCCAAGCACATCGCCGCACACGGTCTCCAGGACACCGCGACTGGCGGCGCTCTCGATCGGCTTTGGTTCGCCGCTGTAGACACAAGGCGCCCTGGTGCCGTCGGCGTCGCAGATTCCCCGCATCACGCACTTGCCGGTGTCGCCAACGGAGAACACGGTGCTAGCTGCAGTCACGAAGAAGAGGAGTGCGACGAAGGCTTGTCTGTGTGTTGTCTTCATGATTCCCTTTCACTGACTGACTGATTCGGCGTCGAGTTGATGCTGCTACTGCTGCTTACTGGCTGGGCGCGTCGTCTCCCGTTCTGTTTTCGTCTCGGTGCCGTCGACAGCGTCACTGCAACGGAGCAGAGAGGGAAAAAAACAAGAAAGCATTATATATGAAAACGCTGTCTTACACGGCGCGTACACGTCCCGCTCGGCTGATCCCCCCGCTCGCGGATCTCAGCTGCTACGTCGTTGCTTGTTTGCTTTGGCAATCAACCCGTCACACCAGTTGCCGTCGCGGCCACCACCGCTTTCGTTAAAGGGCTGTGAGGACGAAGTTGCAACCACGGTAGCTGCTTCGAAGCGAAAGAGAATGCCCGTGGACCATCGCCACCCAGTGATTGCACCCCATCTGGAGAGGGAAAAAAAAGGAGGAGAAATACGCGCCGTTCGGCGCTCACCTCGAAAGGAGCTCCAAAGTGGCACGGTGTAAGTGCAGCTTGAGGAGTGGCGGAAGCGTGCCGGGCGACCGATACACGCGTGTTCTGCAAACGAATGCCGTCGGGGGGCCGCGGTGGACGAACTGTCTCGGATGGCTGTTGCTCTCTCACCACCGCGATTGATCGAAACCTGAGTAGCGGACCCTTTGATTTCCGCGCGACGGCTTATATCGTCACGCACTCGTGGTGAAAGACAATCGACACCCTTACTCACACTCCTCACTGTCTCTTTTTCCTTGTTTCGTTCACTCATCTCCTCTTTGTCTGTAGCGTGGTTTCTCGCATGACTTCCTATAGAGGTTCGAAGGTTTCTGTGCGTGCGCAAGAACGAGTGTGCGTTGTGCGGACGAACAAAGTCTAAAGTGTCACAGCTTTTCTCTCAATTCGTGGATCTACTAGCAGGCGATTCAGGAACAACAGAGAGAGCGAAAGCACATCGTAGTTCTCCGGTTCTGATGTACTCACCTGGCTCGATTACCTCCTCGATGACATAGCAGGCCCCTCGCGTCTAAATTGAGCTCGTCTGTTTTCTTTCCTCTTGGTTCGCGAGTTGCTGCGCGAAAGGATTCGTTGACCCGTTTGGCGACTGAGCAAACAGGAAGCGTTTTCTCGGTTGCGCTGAATGGCTGGCACCGGCGGGAAAGTACGCTCGCGGACGCGACACATTTACCCCGTGTTTTCACCTTGTGACTTCGACGTAAGCGAGTGTCTTCCGGAACTTTTCGCATGCACTGCATTCTTTTCGCGCTCTGAGGAAGATGTACGCAGTCAAATTTATCGTAATTATTTCCTTAGTACCCTGATTACTTATCTTTGAGAAGTGTGCAGTCGAAATCGCTGAAGCTTACGTCTATTCTCGCTGAAGGCACGGGCGGTGTTAGTCATAGGTCTGCAAACTCACTCACGAGTCGATTCGCCCATACTCTGACACACCCGCGAGTTTCATATCGAGGGCGCTTGGCTGAGGGAGAGAATGGAAAAATGTTTATTGCCGAGAAAAGAAAATGAGGAAGTGTTATAATCTGGTGCGTGGGGCCCCTAGTCCAGGTCTTCACTGGCTTCCACATCCCGCCGCGACTGATACAGGAGCGCCACTTGGGCCTCCTTTTCCTTGATGGCCACCAAGGTCTCCCACTTGTCCGTCCTTAATATTTGCGCCGGAATCTGAGGCGTGCTAATTTTGGGTGGCCCCAACTCACATTCCTATTTCATGTGAAAAAGTGTTGGCTGTCCTCCACACCACCGGCAAGAACCGACATATGCGGTTTGGCGGATTACATGTTTTAAACGCAGGTACGAATATGCATTTGTCTGCAAGCGGTGCCACTCATGCGCTTGTTCCTCTCTCTCTCTCTCTCAAACACCCACACACACCACCACACACACACACGCATTCCCCCCTCCTACAAACACAGGCACACACACACACGCGTGCACACGATCCAATAACGAATTTTAGCTAACCCCTGAATGATAAACGCTCAAGCGACGTGACAGACTAATCAGTTATGAGGAAGCGAGATGTTTAATAGGGAATACTCTCTAAGGTTATGAACATCAGCCAAAGCTTACTTCTAGGCAATTCTTGTTGACAAAAATTTCACCAGCATCACATGTTCTTCGAAAGGTTTGTGGGGGGAAAGATATGCTAAATTAATAGACTCCTTCGATGATAATGAATGAGCATTTTTAGACTTGCTGTCAAGATAGTTTCACGCGCAAACACAGAAAAAACGCTGTTTGCTTAATGTCACGGAAGGCTGGGTCACATCAGAACCGGTCAGTGCCTAGTGATCCCTCGCTTGGCTAGGTTTCTACCCTCTTTACCGGTCGGTTTCTCGCTCCTAGCTATCAGCTATCATCATAATCATCATCATCATCTTCATAATCGTCATCGTCGTCGTCGTCGTTTCGTCATCATCATCGTCATCGTCATAATTATCCTGAGCCCGACTATGCCCACTGCAGAGCAAAGGCCTCTCTCATGATCGGCTAATCAGCCCGGTCTTGTGCTTTCTGTGGCCACGTTATACATGCGATCTTTTGAATGTGGATTATTCTTTAGTCACACGATGTCGTGCTTCGGCGTCGGTGGTTGCGCCGTGCAAAATCTTACTGTAAAGACTTTATCTCACTGTGTATGATCACGTCTGGCATCTCGTGCCGCATGCTCACTCCTCTTGCAGTGACGCGCACGCTCGCGTCTCGTACTGGTCCAGGAAGACATAGAGTTTCCTAAAATTACCTAGAAGGGACTATGTCACTGCGATCATTCAGCAAACATGGGAATGACGGTTAATACACGGATTGGCCTAGTCTTCGTACTTGCGAGCGACGTATCACACTTGTGGCTTCGGTTAGTATTGCTGTGTTGGTTAATTTTTTTGAAAAAAAGAACGTTCCCTTTTGAACTTCGTTACCCGATTTGCAATGGTAAGCGTAAAATATTAAGGTGGTGAAGCATAACCACTGAACATTCGCTGATATTTTATTCTCGTGACAGAACTGCTCCAAGACATACAAACACGCATGGAGCTAGAAGTACGAAGACTGGACAAATACGTGTACTACCCATATAGTGAACTACATTCTAGTTCACTATACCCACCCTTCATTCCCATGCTCGCTCAAGCGCCGTGCGTTGCAGCTTTCTTAGACACTAGCGCCAGTGTTCCTTCTAGTGTATATTCAGAAAACTCCATGCAGGAAGGAACTGTCACTCCCCTCCACCTCTCTTGCCTCCCAAGGCCGACGCAAACAGCATCTGCTAGCGAAAAAAAAGAGAAGATAAAACTGCTCGCGTTGCACAACTGTTCACTGGCCACTCCGTATATGCATATGTAAGCACTGGATCGCACGTTGGGAATTCATTCAAGGACGACTTGGCTCACGCTTGGCGTTGAAGGCAACGCTTCTCCTTCAATCAATAAATAAGAATAACAAAGATGAAATAACAGTTAAGCATTTCGAAACCATATTCAATTACGCAACATTCACGCGATACTTCTCTTCCCCTCAGCGACACATTCACTCGAGTTCCCAGTTCTTCCCGCGGGAAGGTGCGGGTGTCATTTTTTAATCTCATCGGCCCATTTAACTTTCTGTGTCCCCTTGGTGCATTTGACTTCTCTATGAATCTGGTCAGTTACCCTTAATGACCAGTAGCTATCCTCCCTACGTGCTACGCGTCTAGTCCATGTCCATTTCTTTTTCAGCTAGGGTTCCAACTATGATATCCTTAACCTCGGTTTGTTCCCTGACCCACCCTGATCTCTTCCTGTCTCTTAAGGTTATACCTATCATTTACTTTTCCATCACTCGCTGCGTCGTCCTCAATTTAAGCTGAAACTTCTTTGTAAGCCTCCAAGTTTCTGCTCAGTAGGTAGCTACTGGCAAGATACTGCTGTTATGTAACTTACTCTTGCTAGTTATAGGCAGATTACCATTAGTATATTTGAGAGTGCTTGCCGAAGATGATCCTCCCTATTTTTCTTCTTTTAGTTATTTCACTCTCATGGTTCGGCTCCACGATTACCACCTGTCCTAAGTAAACATATCCCATTACAACTTCCAGCGTCTCTCCACCTATTGTAAAATACTGCTTCCTGCCGAGATTCTTGCACAATCCTTTAGTTCTCTATATTAATTTTCAGACCTACTCTTATGCTTTCCATGTCCATATCAGTAATCATGAGCTGTAATTCGTCCCTGAGTTATTCATCAAGGCAATGTCATCAGCGAATCGCAGACTACTACGATACTCTCCATTAACTCTTATTGCTAACCTTCCTAATCCAGGGCCCTGAAAATCTCTTGTAAACACACCGCAAATATAACTGGAGAGATCGTGTCTCCCTGCTTTACACCCTTCTTTATTGGGATTCTGTCGCGGTCTTTATGGAGACTACGGTGGCTGTAGATCCACTGTAGATTTCGTCCAGTATGTTTATGTAGGGTTCGTAAATGCCCTGATTCCGTAGTACCTGCATTGCTGCTAATGTTTCGACTGAGTCAAACACCTTCTCGTAATATATGGATGTTATCTGTAGGAATTGGTTGTATTCCGTGCATTTCTCTACCTGATTGATAGTATGAATGACGAGCACATCTGACTAGTCATACCTTCAAAATCATGACATGTATGTCATGAATGTCATGATATACATTTCATGGTCTTGTTGCGATTACGGTGGTTTTGTTCACATGGCATGTTGCAGAGCTGGTATGGTATGACGTGATTGCATTGCAAACGCAAGCGACAGACCCTAACGTGAAAATCATGACATGCGTGTCATGTAACAATATGATTACATGCCACGCTGATGATGCGCTCTCCGCCATCTCGCTAGCGTCACATATACCAAATTTGGTATTGCGGGACGTGAATGGATGACGAAGGTATGAGACTGGTGCAAACATGATAAACATGAGATGCGTGTCAAGTAACAACATGACTATATGCTACGCTCATGATGCGCTCTCCGCCATTTCGCTAGCTTCACATGTCAGATTTGCTAATACGTGACGTCAATTGATGACGAAGGTATGTGACTGGTGCAAACATGATAATCATGAGATGCGTGTCATGTGAGAACATCACTACATGCCACAGTCAAGGCGCCAATACACTTCCACGTGACCCCGCGCGCGTGCGCGCCGGCAATCGTTTTGTCACGTCCCGCCGGCGTTGCCACGCCAGGTGCCGGTCCTGCCTGATACTAGTAGGTGCGCACTGCCTTGCTTTGGCACATGTGCGTTTCAGCGCGTTCGGCATACCTCCGTCTCGTGGAGGAGAAAAAAACCTTCATTGATGCTGGCTGTGCCAGATAGCCCTTATCCCCACCGGGCTGGTTGACATCCCTAGTCCGGGACGTCATTAGTCGAGGCCGCCACCCGAGCCCGCTGAACTAGAGTTCGCTGTTCCTCTAGTGTGGAGCTATTGAGTAGGGTCGTCTCCCAGTTATCTTTGGTGGGGTTAGGAAAGGGGGTTAATTTTGGGTTCATTTGGCAGGCCCAGACCATATGGTAAGTGTTGGCCACTTCCCCACAGTACTGGCACTGCCCACTTGTTTTTGGGTCGTAATATTTGAGTATGGCTGGACAGAGCAGCGTATTTGTCTGTAGGCGCCGCAGGATGCGCTCCTCCG